CACCTCTTCTTGGTATAGTGTTTTCTTCTCTTACAGTTAGGTAAGAATACAACACAGTGTGATTATAGGCAACCATCCTGATCCCTGTTAAGTTTCTTCAGCCCAAAGCAGAAGCTAAGTGGTTTCTACCTTTAGTGCGCACAGGCAATGGCCATCACAAAGACAATGGTCCTTACACCACAGCTCACTAATGACACAGCTCACACCACCCTCTGCATAACCACAGTAGAACTTAAAATTTGAAATCAAAAGGGCCAAAATATGACATCACCCACAGTATATCACAGCCTCAGAACCACTGTCCTGAGGCCAGAGGCCGGGAGCACTACAAGGAGTCTCATTTCTGAGGGTAGGAAGTTAGGCTGGTGTCACTGCAGAAGGACATAGTAGCATCAATTTAGAGCACAAAAATCTTTATTCTCAACAACTTTTTTGATTCCTTTGGTGGAAGATATTTCATTTAGTAAATATTTGACTAAGACTTGATTCGTACTTAAAAAGTCTAATATCCAGACACTGCTATGCAAAGGCTACCCTTTTCTTACAAGACTATCTCCTCTCCCTACAATAAGTCATAGGGACCATAGGCTGGCACACCCAGACAACCCCAAGAGGTTTGCATGTTCTTTAAGAAGCATACCCTCAGAAACAGGGGGAGAACATCTAAAAGGATGTTTTTCCTCCTGCCATCTTATCAGGCAGTAGCACTGGTGGTCTTCAGTTCTTGGTAATTTTGGATGCTCACGATAACAAGTGAGGCATCTCTCCAAATCTGTGGAACTCCTGGCAAACCATCTTTCTCCATATTTGTAAGCTAAAAAACTTTGGACTTTCCCATATGCAGCATGGCTCATAATGGGGCTGCATTTCTATAGAAAATATATCTAGCAGTTGCTGCAATTGTTCTGTCTTACTTTTCTAATTAAAAAACTAAATGAAACTCCCAGGAGAAAGTATTCATACTACTTCCAGTCATCTTATAGCAGTTAAAGACAACACAGCAAACCACTTTGCAGTCAATCCTGCCAACGGGTCATCACGTAAAGATCCTTTTACATGGAAAAGGTTTTCAGCAGCCTTACAGCCTGTACATCAAATTAGCAGAAACTATTTTGAATGACTTTTCACTGGCAACATAACTTTTTAAGTTCAAATACACATAAACGAGGACAGCCAATTCTGGCAACTGCAATAGTACTTCAAAAACATGTTTTCAAAAACCCAGACACTGTTCCCACCCCATGAAGTTTTTTGGGGGGGGAACATTCTCAGCACTGTGATACCATTTATTTTAAAACACTCTTTTAAGATGTTCTGAAGGTAACTCCTGTTCCTGCCGTTAAACTTATTTTATATTATGTGGTTTATAATCTGTAAAACAGGAAGAGGGGGGAGCATTAATTCTCACAAACCAAACTGCCTTTTTGTTTGCAATAGCAAATAGGTAACTTAATAAAATTTTCAGAACCAGAAACTAAACAATCCATTTTCAGAAAACATTTATTCTAAGATACACTGGGGAATGAATAAGCATGCTCTGAACATGAAATCCAAATGACATTAAGAGTCACTGTGTTTCAATATTGCATTTTTCTGATGGAGCGCAAGAAATTAAACTAAGACAGTAAAACAACTTGCTTCATTTTCTGCTACAGAAAATGACCTAACTGCTAGACAGAGCTAACACACAGAGTTTAAGTCTCAAGCATTTCTTTCAGGACTCTCTAGCTTCTGCAACTTTCCTCATTCTGACTGAAAAAAGAACCAACTAAAGCTAGGGCAAATTATTTCCTATTTTGTCAAGGTAACATGAAGTACACAGATTTAATGGCAGCTGTATATTCCTCCTCTTCAATGCTCTTAAGATGATTTAAAAATACAACCTTTACTTTTCAATCAACTTACCAGTTTCAATATAAGCTCTAAGCATTTGTTTTGTTTCAGTCCACTCATCCCTTTCTAGCTTCTTTCTACATATATAAAATAATGACCGAACTTTATTTTAGGACAAATTTTAATCATCCCTTTCTTACCTGCAACCTTAAAACAATCATACTATCATTTCTGGGAGAATGTCCCTTCAGTTACTGAGAACTCAAATCACTGGGGAAAAAAAAAATAGCAGTTATCGGTCTGGTGAGAAGCCTGAAGAGTAGCTCGGGGTGCCGAAGGTAAGAGCGTGCAGCAATACTTCAGATTTTCACCTCCAACATAGTTCAATTAAACAGTAAAGTTGGCCTGGCACTGGGGCCTTAACAGGACTCCACCTACCACTGTTTTCATTAATGTGAGAGTTGAAAGCAACATCAGTTACTAACATCCACACTACTTCATGTATTTTACAGCCCTCCTAACATTCATGTTTCACATCTTTTTAAACGGAGATAGGCCGTAATTGCCAAGTAGTATTCAAATACAAATGAAAATCTCCTCAGGAAATTCCCAAGCAAACTGCTGGAAAGGCTCTCTATACTTCTCCTGTTTCTCATACTGGTCATCCTCAGACAGAATACTGAGCGAGGCAGACTTTGTCCCACTCAATACAGCCATTCTTCTGAGCATCAAACACCACTTTGTCCTCCGGAGCCTGCAGGAAGCTTGAGACACCGGCAGGGAAGTACTGTCTTCATAGCCCTGATAGCTCAACTGGACTATCAACTAAAAAGCCACATGATGTTTGGAAGAAAAATGGAATTCCTAGTTTTAATTTTACTTTTGCAGTTTACAGCCTCCAAGGGAAACCGAGGGCAGACAAGCAAAAATGCTTGTAGTACCGGTTCTAGGAACAAAAAGTACAGAGAATGTAAATCACTGACACCTGCATTTACATAGCATACGAAGGCCTCCATCTGTACTCACCTGAAATTACCATTTATCTGTTAAATTCAGACTCCAGATGATAACTCAGATTTTGTCCTCTGAACTGTGGGAGGGGATGGGCAGAAAAACCACTGACCCAAAGTTGGGGTTAAACACTCTCCAATACAGAGTACCTTTCCTTGGGCAAAGTCTAACACTACACTCGCTCTGCTGTGTCCCTGTTTGTCTCTTAAGGAGTCCCTCTTGCAACTGTTATTTCATCGCAGTGCCCGTTTTCGATCAGTAAATCTCATACCCAAGCTTTGTATGGCAAGTTTGTACAACCAAGAGCCCGCCGGCACCAGAAGGCAGCCACCTCACTGAAGCTGGCACAGGATTTAACTGCAGCCAGGGCAGCAGGCTCCTCTGCAGGCCCCCCCAGTACAACCTTACACCCGAACGTCTGTTCCTGGGATCTGTTACTTCAAGCAGGCTTCACACCAGCAAATGCACTCAGACACAGTGGGGGTGCTGTGGTGAGATAACCAGCCACTGCTAGCTTGGTTTCGCTCACTTGCAACTGTTTATAGATCTACAGCCTCCACCGGCAGGACAAGTTCTTCAGCAACAGACAAAACCTCCCACCTTAACAGGGACCTCATTACTTAAACGGTAGCAAAGCATTTATGCAGACCTACTCTTGTATCCTCCTTGTGGTTGCAAGGCACTCCTCCCTCCTGTTTCTAAGCCCACCACTCATGTAACTCAAAAAAAGGCTCTGCTTTTTCTGCCTGGTTGCTAAAACAGATACATAGCAATATTCCAGAACAAAAGTTTGTCTAACCATTGATTTTTTGGACCACAGCCCAACAGCCATGTGACGCTTCTAAGCTGCACACTAATGACAGTGCAAGATTTCACCAGGCTACTTAAAGTATGAAAAAGCAAAGTGCTTTCATGCTGTTTACTGCACTGTCTTAAGTCAAAGCTTTGCATCTAGCAAGCTATTTTGTAAAACCGAAGCTTAATGAAGTAGTTTTGCAGAGAAATCTCATGCCATGTGTTCCAAACATGTCACAGCACTCTTCACATCTTATCTCAATCACTTGTATAAAATATCAAAACCATACCAGAACTAAATCCACGAGTGGCTTGCAAACACATTATCCCCTGCTCCCACCGAGGAAAAAAAAGCCATTACAAGTACTATTCTTTCCATCTTAAATACTACTAATACACATTTTTTGTTGGTTACCCATCTCCTGCAGCCCTAAAGCACAGGAGCATCCATACAGAAAGGTTTGCAGCTAACAGCCAGTATGTCTTACCACTGGCCACATCTACCTTTTTCTATGCCAAGTGAGAGGTTCATCTTCATGATTGAACACTGTTCCTGGGGATGGGTCTCCACCACCTAATACACAGGATAACAGGATTCTCTGGCACCCCGATAGCCAATACTGTCAATCCCAGATCAAAAACCATCCCCAAGGAACGTTTTAGAACATACAGAACAAGACTGATGTGAAGTACTTTGGGTACCTGAAGTTCCACCCACAATCCTTACACTTTACCTCTAATATTTTGATCCCAGAAATCACAAGAGCAACTCATTCTCACCAATTTTACTGCATATACACATCACAGTTACCTCCTCAGCTTCTTCCATATTTCACATTAGCATCAGCCCAAAGGATAAAAAGATGGTACCTTTATACTCCAAAACACGTGCCATAAACATACGCTTCTGACCCTGTAATGCAACTCATACAGATGCTTTCAGAGTATCTAACAAGTACTTACCAAATACTGCTGCTGCATTACCCGTGTCTCTAACATGTTTTTTCCTCCAGAAGAGACTGACCTAGCTATAGCTAGGACTGGCAGCTTTTTGACTTACCATGCAAGAAGCTTCACTAGATGCTGTCAGCAGCACCCAGACTTTTCATAGAACTGCAATGAAAGATGGGAGAGAGGTCCCTTCCCACTTCTGAAGTCCATCATCACCAAGAGTTTACATTCTCCAGGAGTCACTCAAGCACAGCATGGATATCACATGTGGAATATCACAACATGCCCAACAAGCACTGTACCAGCCAGTGCAACAAAGCCACGTTGCCTTTGTAGCTCTCGCAAAGTACAAGCTGTCGAGGAACATCGTGGTGCAACTACAGACCTGATGTGCAACAGCTGGGTTTTTAACATCCTCATCTTTATTCAAGAAAGAGCATGTACAAAACATGGCACATGGAAACACCTACCCTTGCCAGTAACATTTGTTAACAGAAATAATAAATTCCTCTTGAAAGCAATTTCTGTAGTAAATTTCTGCACATTCTGATACATTCGATACTGATTTAGAGAGTTGCTTGCTTTAAAAAAGCAGCCTTTAGCCAAAGTAGCTGGTTACAATAACCAAAGCACAGGAGATGCTCAGTGAGCCAATACACTCTTGAGTTCAGTCAGATCCTCAATGTACATTTTAGTAGTCAGATGGATATTTATTTTTGACATTCTCATGCTTGAGGCACTGCTACTGGTAGCATTTTGAAATTCATGATGCTGCTTAGACAGAAAATTGAGCTTTTAATGGAATTTGTCATTTAGAAATAGGCACATTCCATGAGCTATAGGAATTATTCCCAACTCTCTAAAGGAAGAGAGCTGCTGGCGTCCAATGCTGTTGTTTTTGGCTGCAGACCATAAGGATTCACTAACTGTAGCTCTATCAGTTTTTAGGTATCATGCCATTCTCGCGTTTCTTCCTTTAGAAAGCATTCCTGACAAATAGGTCCGAGAGTCATGCTTTAAGGCAGACTACATCTATGTACATAATGATTTGTCTTTAGAATCCAATTGACTTGGTATCCAATTAATGATCCCTCACCCCTCTGTGGAATACTGCCAATTTGCTGAATACAGCAAATATGTTGTGAGTGTGACACAGCAGCATCAGTTTTCAAGTGACTGCCCAAACTACGAGTTCCAATGCGTGTGCTCCCTTCTCCCACCACTGCCCTCTCTTCCCCACACAGCAAGCAGGTAACATTGCCAGTGTATTCCTCAAAGGGCAGTTCCACTGTTGTGGTCTTTTCAAGCTAAAGTGGCAGTCCATAAAACCCCAATTCCCCTCTCTCTCACTACATACAGATGGCAATGCAAGCTTTAGCGCTTGGCTTTTCTGTAACCACATCGTTCCTGATGACACCTAAATTTCTTTCTTAAAAATGTTTCATGTTTACGCTTCCGTACCACCATCACCTCATCTACTTCCTCCTATCTCCTGGATGACACCACCCTCAAAAAGCAGACTCACTGGTTTGAATTGGTGTGATTTGTGTGGTTTGAATTTTTCTTTCTCCCCATCTTTATAGGGCCTACCTATGAGTTCCATTGTTTTGAGTCGTTACAGATCTTCAGTATCAACAAGTCTGCATACCCTTATGACATTCTAAAAAGGCAAATACTCCCAGGGGTTTTTCCATGTACTGAAACTCAACACACACTTCCCTCATATTGCTGCTATACTTCCTAGAGGGCAGCTCAATGTTTTGGGAAAAGCGCTATTTTAAATATGCAGATGCAGTGATTTTGGTTCACATGCAGTTTCTGAAAACAGTATCTGCTGAACAAAACTGCAGCAGCTGTTTCAGCAGGTTTTTAAAAGCATGGTATCCCACTCCAAGCCACAAAAACTCTTCAGGTGTTACACTTCCTTCCAGTTACAGACCATCCAGGCAGCACTGACAAAGTGCTCCAACTCCTCACTGGAAAAAGAGAACAAGGTTTAAGTAAAATTGTTCATTTGAGGGAGAAATTTCAATTTGCAAGTAAGCACACAATACTTTGTGTACATTAAAGTGTTACCATCTCTGTGAAAAATACTAGATCCCCATAGACATTATAGTACTTCTCCAAAAGTTTAAATGAAATCTTTTGGTCTCATCTCAGATTCCGGATCCGTATTATGTTTTTCAGCAAGGAATTCAGGTTCGGGATAGGATCATCACAGATGAGACAAAAGCAATACAGAATATGTAAATCTAATAGGAAATGTACTGTTTTTCTGTAGGGTTTCTGATTGCAATAAAAAAATTAAACAGTCTCTAGTCCTTTGACATTTCAATAATTATGTACAATTATTTAGAACTTTGCATATAGGTTTGAAAGCTAGCCAAGGTTAGGCAGAGCTGTCAGCACACATTGTGACTTGGGGAACAAGTGTTCTTAAATTCTGACTATGTACAGAATTAATTACTCTACCAACTTACCATATCAATTAATTACTGTATTAAATATATCAACAACTGTCATAATATAGAAAATTCCTGAACTGTAAGTACAGAGTTACTTTATACCTAAAATGAGAAAATGGTTAGAAGCTTCTCAGTTACATACCTGAATAAGCTAAAAACATTTGTTCCTACATTTTTGACCACTTCCCTGTCCAAAGAAATAAGACATTTATTAGTTGAGATTTTTCTTCCTTCACTCAAAATACAACTTGCCATCTATTTATCTCTCATACAGACCAAGCTGCATTACTGAACATGTGCTGGATTAGTATCAGTACTCCGCAAGCTCTGTGAAACTTAACTTAGAAGCGTAGTCATGCCACAGTTAAGATTCATTTTGCTTCTCTTGCCCAGCTATTGCTCAACTTGGCTACGAACTTATAGGCAACTAAACAATCTCCTATCAGAATCAGAAAGTTCATTTCATTAGCTAATACTTGGTTCTCAGCTTCTATCAAAACATTAAAAACTCCAGAAGCTAAAATCCACCAGCAAACAAGCACTAAATAAAAAACTGCACGCGGTCCACATTCTTCTATGCACAAGTCTCCTGCAAGCAACAGGAAAATGGAGACTACCTCTGAACTAGAACTGAAAGTTCAAAAAAAGGCCAAGATAGTTCATGAAATGTTTCACCCTGTTTTCTGTAAGATACACACAAACCCCACTCCACTTCAAATATGCCATTTGTAATACAATTGTTTACATGTCACTTCCTGCTTATAAATGGGATTGACAACAATGCAGTTTTTAAAGCAGTCATTTAAAAATTATCATTACTTACTTAAACCAGTTTTGCTGAGTTTCAAGGCATGTACAGACTATGAAGCCTATCATCTTCAAACACTTCACCTGTTCTGGTGTTAAGAGTAGTCTAAACTCAGATTCACACATGTTTTTCATCAGCAATCAATCAGATTTGGGATAGGTTCTTCACTGGTCAGACATACCAATGGTTTTAAGCATTACTCCCCCACCAAGCTTTTAATCATAAAATGTATTGGAATTCATACCTTCAACCAAGAAGCAGCCTTCAAGCATCTCTGCAAAGACATAAAATGTACTGGTTAGTTACACTAACAAGGCTTGCTACTTCCAACTTTCTCTAGATCAGCCATGCAAGTCACTCCACTTCCTACCTGCAATATTGCCTGTCTAAACAATACAGCATTTTATAGGTAGCACTGCTGCACAAGAAGTTTCACTCACACATTTCAACTCCACATGCTGTCACAAAGCCCATTCATCAAAAGAAACTGCTGGTAGTTAGCAAGGTATTTAAAGGTACCTTTTTTTAATAGGAGTGGAATTAAAGATGTTGTTGTAAGACAGGAAAATTAGAATGTCCTCACATTTTAGATTTTAACTTCTTAAATAAAAACAAACTCTGGATAGTGAAGAAACAGTGCAATTAAAGTAGGTTTCACTGAAAAAGATTAAACTCAAACACTTAGGTAAGAAGGAAGTACTTGGAGAAACCACTACCAATATTCTTGATGCACAGTAAGCATTCATAAGCATGCTTTTTGCCTGCTGCAAGTATAACATTATACTAGCCCTTCCGAATTAGTTTAGCTCTGGAGCTGAAACAGCTTTAATATGATTAGAATTCATTACAATTCACCACCAAATTTCACCTTCAATCATTAACATTACTTTTCCTAAATGCTCACATCTGAGTGAGCCATAAGTTAACAGTCCTAAAGAGGGTCAAAGCACAAACATCATGACTAGCTTTCAAACACCAGCAACACTTCCTTACCAGGGCACTTTTAATACCTGGCTAGTGTTATTTACCCACTACAAGACAGGATAACTCAAATTATAGGGGTCTAACACTTCCCTTTCTCTCTCTGCTCTTTAAAGATGCTAGCTTTTCCAACAGCACATATCCATGTCAACACGGACTGGAGGTGAATTTCAGTAGCGCACCAACATCCTTATTCACTACCTGGAGCATGGTAGCATCTAGTTTGTACATGGGGACAGAAATAAAAGTAAAAACAACTGGGATAATGACTGAAAGAATAAGCAATTTTTGAAAGATTTAAGTGGTTTAATCTCAGTAGCCAGATCCGTATGAAGTTTCTCATCAACATATCAGGTTTGGCAGTTTCATCATGATTCACCACTTTAGTATCAGTGACTTGGAATTGCAAAGCAATTCATACATTCATATATTCCAAAAAACAGGCTTTGTGTCTTCCACATGCAGGTATACTGAAAAGGGACTATATTACAATTAATATTACCTCTATCTGTTGTCCTACAGTTGCCGGGAAGTCTTTCATCAGGATGCCTGACATTCCCATTATTAGAAACTGTTCATGCCATTCTAGAAATTAAGAGTAGAATAATCAATTACAACATGTTCATGCATAATATAGGACGACTTATTAGGAACAACCAAGTTTTACTCTTGTAGATCCCCCTTCCTCCCAAACACTGGTTGTAAGCACTTAAGTCAAATTAAATTTAATACAGATCCTCAAGTTATTTCTTAACATTTCCAAAAGGTGAGAATATCAACTATACTCTTTAAAAAATGAACTCATTTATTAAAAAATTGGAAGATTTGCCTGTTTGTATTAAAAAGTTTCTAGATGTCCCCTTTGTTTTCTTCGCCTAAACACTCTTACACTTGTCTCCTGATAAAGTGCAAATTCACAATTAAAAGCCATCCTGAGGTAATCTTTATCAGATTTAGTATGAACAGTTCAGATAAGCACTTTACCAGCTCCCCCAACAGTGACCCAAATAAACTATTCACCCAGCCTACACAGTTCTAGACCACATCAAACATGCCTGAAATACAACGATACTTTTGATTTTAAAGCTAGGGACACACCTACTAATTTGATCACACATATATTTTGCTAATCTATGTATCATACTATTTTATCCACACTGATCATTCAAAACATACATAGCTTTCAGGAAAATCCACTTGTGTGTACCAAGTATTCTTCTACTTCTGACGGTGCTTCCATGAAAGACTAAAATAGAAATTAAACAAAAATTGTATTCCAAAGTAGAAATGTCTTGCTGTGGCCTAGCATCACCTCTCACGTTACTGTGTCAGAAACAATGACCAAGCACTAAAAATTCACTTTTTCTTACAAGAATTCAATATTGGTCTAGAACAGCCTTCAATACCTGAAAAAATGAAATTTTGTATGCTGTAGGAAAAAAATATTTATGTATTATATTATTTTAGCAGGAGTAGGGAAGTGATCGTGCCCCTGTATTTGGCGCTGCTGAGGCCGCGCCTCTAATACTGTGTTCAGTTTTGGGCCCCTCACTACAAGAAAGACATTGCATTGCTGGAACAGGCCCAGAGGAGAGCAACAAAGCTGGTGAGGGGTCTGGAGCATAAGCCAGATGAGGAGCAGCTGAGGGAGCTGGGGTTTTTTAGCCTGGAGGAGGCTGAGGGGAGACATTACCACCCTCTACAACTGCCTGACAGGAGGTTGTAGCCAGGTGGGTGTTGGTCTCTTCTCCCAGGTGATGGGGCAATAGGACAAGAAGAAATGGCCTCAAGTTGTGCCAGGGGAGGTTTAGGTTGGACATTAGGAAAAATATTCACCAAAAGGGTTGTCAAGCACTGGAATGGGCTGCCCAAGGAAGTGGTTGAGTCCCCATCCCTGGAGGTATTTAGAAGACAGGCAGACAAGGTGCTTAGGGACGTGGTTTAGTGGTGGGATGTCAGTGTTAGGTTAACAGTTGGCCTTGATGATCTTAAAGGTTTTTTCCAACTTAAATGATTCTATGATTCTCCCTCTCTCTATATATATATACGAGTGGCCATGTATTTATTCACAATGCAATACTACTGTCTGTCCATAGTTTGCAGGATCATTACCTCAATAATTACAACAATCACATTAACTCCACACACACCCAAGGCCAGAGAGCCAAGTCACACCATCTCCAAAATGAGTATAATTTAGTACAAGTTAACAAAGTGATTAATCATCTGGGTCTTAATGCTTTTTTAAATGCCACAACAAAAGAAATGAAACTAACAACTGACCTAAGGGCTGACCTTAACTTAGTGAAGAGCACAAAAAAGTCATCAAGTCATCAAACTCAACAGATTGTTGGCAACTATGAAAATGTACCATACTGTAACTGTTTTTGCTTTTCGTCCCACTCAGTAGCTGTACAAAGATGACAACCCTCTGGCAATTAACACATTCTGTACTTTTGATGGACAAAAATATGGAAGTAAGAAATGGAAGCATTTTATTATCTTGATAAACAACAGAAATGTAGCGTTACTCCTACAGCAACAAAGTTAAAAATCCAGAGCCATTACCTTGATGATTCTGTACAGTGTACTGGACACCACTGAAAACTTCTTCTCCATCATACCTAAAAACAAACAGTAAACAAAATTAACACTTGAAATCAGCAGATTCTTATTACCAGGCCACTAAGCCACACACATTACAAGACAATAATCATCAACAATCTCTGAAGTTTCAGAAGCAATAGTATGTTAAGTACTTAAGTTTGCAGGAGGCCTTTTAGAAAGCAGCAAGAAATGCAGCCAGTTTTCAGTAACAAAGGAGTTATGAGTCACATTGACTTGAAACACCACGTTAAAAGCATTGCAGAAATAACTGCGTGTACCCACTATTAAACTTCAGTCCAAAGGATTTTTAATGAAAATTAATCAAGGTTTCAGTCCTTTAAGTATAAGCATTGATTTCAACTGGTTTAGAGAATTCGGTTTTAACCATGTAGCAAGTATTTAAATCCACCAATTCAACCAGCCAAAGCAACACACGTCAAGGTTATTTGTTTTGTCATATACACTACTTCAAATACACCACTTCCAACAATAATGTTTCTCATGCTGCACTACATACATCAAATAAATGTAGCAATCCATTAAAGATAACTTTATTAAACACATTTTGTTTCAGATCACAAAAAAAAAATTTAAGCCATGGAAAATCTTGAGTTAAGCCTGCCTACTACACCCAGTAACCAAAGGTTACTAACGACTTGCAAAGATTCAAAAATTTTATTGTGCAGTAATCTAACGTGTGACTCAGGCTATCGTTAGACAAGCTCATTCAACACAGAATGAATGTACCCGGCAACTTCCTATGTGAACGCAGCCATCTCCTTATCTTTGCTTGCAGATTAGAGCCTAGAATCCTAGCTATCTTTTTTTATTATATTGTTGTTCTTCCAGAAGGACTATGGCTCAGTGACATTAGGATCACAAGAGGGAGATAAAAAAGGCATCCTAAGGCCACAGGAAGTTTGCCATGGGGTTTTATATTTTTTTAAAGCATATCTCCCTTTATTCAGTCTCATTGCCTAGCAAAAAAAAAAAAGGAAATGTCAACAGTTAAAACATTAATCTCATGATTTACTTTAAGAACCATGCGAGGACTGTGCTGTTTGGTTTTTACTTAGCAGGATACGTGGATTTTACAGTAACTGTGTTCTTAAGTCTTCTGTGGAAGGCCGACTCCAGGATGCCACAGGGCTCAGCCCCCAAAGCACACACAGGCAGTGCAAACGCACGCACCAGCCCCATGTCAAACGCACAGGGCAGCTCCACCTCGTTCAGGGAGCCCTGCCCTCTCACTAAACACCTCGTCCCTCATCATCTTCAGGCCGACTTCGTTCACCCCCAATTCAGGCACTGGAACAGGCTACCCAGGGACGTGGTCGAGTCCCCATCCCTGGAAGGTTTAGAAGACGGGTGGACGAGGTGCTTAGGGACCTGGGTTAGTGGTGGACAGGTACGGCTGGACTCGATGGCCTTGAAGGTCTTTTCCAACCAAATGACTCTGATTCCATTTAGTACCGACTCAGGCGACAGCCGAGCGAGGCGTAAG